CGGAGCCTGTGTTTCCTTTTGGATCTCTGAGCATCTTTTGATCTTGAAACTAAATCCATTTTTCCTCTCTCTCTTCCTATTTCCCCCCTCTCTTTCCCCTCCTGTCTCAACCAATTTAGGGAAATAAGAGCCTATGTGGGAGATAAGTTCCCACAAATAACAGCTGCATTAACTCCTTCCTTGCAGGAAAGCATAGCCAAGTCATAATTAACTGGAACATCTCGTATGTATCAATGGGGTTGCTTAACTACAGGGGACATTCTTTTGACTATATTTTTTATTGATATGTGTATTACTCTATTTATTGCCAAAAAGACCTAGGAGAGTCCTCTGGTCACCATGTAACATCACACACAGTAAGTACTCATCTTAAATTTATCATCCAGTTGGATTGATTTCAGCATATTAGATAAAGAGCTCCACTCCAGGGCAAGAGGACCCTGTCCCTCAGCAGATTCTGTGACAAGCTGCAGGGCTGGGGACTATGAAGCTGATGCTCCCTGAGTGTGTGAGCACTGAGTCTGGGTCCTGAAATCTGACCTAGAAGGTTCTACTCTCTCCTTACCTGCTCCATGGGCCTTTCTCCTCTCTGGGTCTCAAGGTCTTATGCACTAAAATGTTCTGTCTCGGTTACAAGGTTGCCATGGGGTCAGCTGAGAGTAGGTGAAGGAGCTTTGTATTCTTCAAAGAGCTCCCCCAAACAGGGCCTTTGTCACAGCCTCAGGTCCCACAGCTGGGTTAGCTTGTAAGCTGTTTCCAGGGTCTGTGCAGACAGGCTGCCCCTCGCCCTGCTCACTCTGACTCCCCTGGCAGCTTCCTGAGGGACATCTGTGCCCAGCCAGCCTCAGTGGCAGCAAGGGTGAGCTGGTTCCGACCTGCTGCAGCATCAGGCCCAGCTCTGAATCACCCAATCCCAACCAAGAGCATTTCTGATTGCTTGACCGCTGACCTCCTGCAGCTGGATTATCAGATGTGGCTTTGGGGAATAGGCTTGTTTATAATGCCAGAGACAAAGGGAGGAAACACAGAGCAGTTAAAACAACAGTCCTTCCTGTTGCTCCAGCGCCTTTCATCCAAGGAGGTCATTTTGAAGCAGCTCCTGGGGATGGCGGGTCCCTGAAATGCCATTCCAGGGGGAAGAGGAAGAAGGAAGGCACTGACTGCAGGAAGGGTGCAGGTAATGCTGCTACAGCCCTGCAGGGCAGGTGTCCATGTGTCTACTGTATGCGGGAATTTTCTGCAGCTGCCATAGGGTAGAGCTGAGGCTTTGAGGGGTCTGGCTGACTCCAAACCCGTTTCTCCTCTCTTTGCCTCATTTTGCCTCATTTTGCCATCCTTATGCTGAACAAAGAAGGCTTTATTCCCCCAGAACCCCTCTTCAGTGCCCAGGCATGAAGTGTCCTGGAGTCTTTGTCACAGGCTCAGGAAGGGAGACTATTGGAAGGATCCATACTCATCCCTGAGTCCAAGTAACTCATTTTTCAGATGAAGGAACAGAGGCCCAGAGAGGTGCAGCAACTCATCCACACTCACACAGCACTCCACACCGCACCTAGCAGGAGGCAGGTCATCCACACAGAGCTGCTGAAAACGTGAAGGAATTAGTGGCAGAGCTGCACGTAAGCCCAAGCCCCCCTCTCCCAGTCTGTTCTCAGCCTGTGTCAGCCCTGTCCTTGGGGGCAGTGCTGTCCACAGGTCAATGCAGTGGCCTGATCTGGGATCTCTACTTGCGCCTGCTGCCTCCAACCATTCCACCTACTGACCGTCAGCTGATCTCGAGTCACCACTATTCATGTTTTTAAAGTAACCAATACTCATTTTGAAGTAGTCCCAAACTGCTGAAAAGGTGCAAAAACTGAACCAAGAACTCCCACCTCCTGCATCATCTCTGCAAGCGCCCATCACCCTCCCCACCTGCCTCCTTCACCAGCAGCCCTGTGCAGGGAGGGGAAAGGACGAGAAGACTGGAGGAGGTGGGGATGCTATTAGTGTTGTTCAAATCAAAGGGTTTTCCCTTTCCCTGTTTCACGGTTGCCTGGAGAGTAGAACATTAAAGAACTCTGTCCTGAGAAGTCTTCTTTCTTGTGAATGCCAAGGACCCGGTTGGTACCCAGTAGGTAATTATAGAATGAACTGTTCTCGTACACTACCACAGTTTCATTAGTTATGGTCCGTTAATATACCCAAGAGGGAACAGGAGGTACGTGAAGCATTGGATCTCGAGGGCTGCGTTGGGATGACGAGGCTTGGTGGTAGGGTGAGAAAGGCCATGGGTTAACTTGGGAAGCTGCTAGATGCCTAGAAGGGGATCCTCTTGGAGGAGGTAGTGGGATCACAGTCCACTGAAGCTCCAGGGTCACTTGGAAAGCGCCTGGGCTTTTGTCTCCTTCCCCACTTTCCCCAGTGAGACAAAGCGACATCCTCAAGACAAGCAATGGTCATGGCAGAAGTGGATGCAGAGCTAGTCTTCTGACTCCCAACTTTTCTTGTCCCTCTCCCCCCAGTTCAATTGTTCTGTGCACTTACTACAATTGGCCCATGTTAATTTAGCAGAGAGGGGACAAAAAGCTCACAAATGGTGCACACTTTCGCCCAGGCATGGCAGGGAAAAAGTGGCTAAGGAAGCTCTCAACACCACCCAGGGCCTGGGTGGATGCATTCCTGAGGGAGGTGGGCCTCTAATTCCCAGTGAGGAGGGTCCCAAGGAGCCTGGAGAGGCCGTGAATATTGGTGTCTCTTGAGAAGGGGAAATCCCAGTTGGGGGTGGCAGGCTCATACCAGACAGAAGAGTCATAATGTCTAGAGATGGATTTGCTCTGCCCACAGGTGGGGGTGGGGAGTCATTGGCCTGGTGGCTTCTGTGTGTGGCTCTAAGGATACTGGAGCAACTATGCCTGCAGATTACATTCCTATTGGGATATCCACTAAACCCTTGGATAGTCTCCTAATTCAGCAAGAGCCCAGGGACTTGGTACTCTCCTGCCATCTGCTCAACCAAATCTAGAGTCTCCTTTAGCTCCAGCTAGCAGTACTCGAGCAATACCAGTAACTTTGGAGTGACCCTGGACAATCATGAAAACCAAGTTCCCCATGAAGCAGCAGCACACTCAGTACCCACCTTCTATATGCTGTCTTTGCTTTCTTTGATTTGATCTTCCTCAACTAGTCACAATCACAGAGAATGAGTTCGTATGCTGGTCAAAGCCTCAAAGATGCTGGTGAAGATAAGGTTTCCCTGTAGGGTACTTCTTGTCCTGCAGTCCAGGTGCTGAGCATCTTACTGTTCATGCCAGCAGCCTCGGTTGCTACTCCATGTTAGATCCTGGCAGAGCGTGAATTCTGAACTGTTTGGAGAAGAGAGGGGGTAGACCTGTGTTTGAACCCATGTAGGGAGTGAGGGAGCGGGGTTGTGTCATATAGGAGCCAAGGGTACCTTCCCCCTCAGCAGGTGCCTCCATAACTTCTTTTTTGCTCAGACAGCTGTGTTGGGGTCCAGCCTGACCCTCTGAGCCCTGTCTACTCTGCTTCAGAACCCAAGGCTGCCTCTACCCTGCAGCTGGGACTATGTGAGGATTTTTTACAATATGAACATGCCTGTAACAGTGGCCCACCATGAATTAGTGGTTACTGTATGATTTGACATGGGTCTAGAGAACTTTTCAGAGTAATTTGGGTCACAGACTACAGATTTGGGGCCCCTCCTGGTGCTTTTAGGTTGACACCAGATTCAAAAAGGATAAAAACGGTGGCATTTTACTTCTCTCCCAGGACTGTGGGCAACTCTGGGTAGGCTGTTGACTCTCTGGTGCCTCCCCAGAGTCTGGCATATGGTAGGGTGATGGAGAGTATTTATGGAGCTGAAATGCACTTAAGGTTTCAGAGCTGTTGCTGGTGCGCCTGCCCACAGTTTCCTGTGGCTGGAAGCAAAACTCATGTGGGGCGTTTGGCTTGTTCAATTTCTGTATGACTCTCCGGGTCTATTCTTAGTCCTTGACCTAGGATTTTGACCTCTATGGATTGCGTCATGGTCTTCCTTGCCCTCTGGCTTCTTTTCGAGTTTGCCAATGGGAGATACCAGCTGGAAATCAGAGGGCAAGAGTATAGAGAAGTTGGGGTATGTATTTGTTTCCTCAGCCCCTGCCAGGCCATAACTTTGGCAGTGTCTGTATTCCTTTACTCAAGGCCATTGGGGGGCTGTTCTGTAGCTTCAGTTCTCACTGGTCCAGCAATGCTGCTCCCCACCCCCTGTCCCTTCAGGAAAAGGGGCAGTAGCAGCTCCCCACTGTTGCTATCTCCTAGGGGCATTGTTATTCCTTGTTGGACGCTCTACCATGTTTCTTCTCTAAACTCTCTCCAATGAACCTTTTGGCTGTGCCCTGTGTTTCCCACAGGCAGATGCCACCAGATGCTGACCCTCACCCTCAGAGTGACTCCTGGGGGTCAGTGGCTCCAGGCCCTGTGCTTCTGTGTAGGAGGTTGAGCCCAGCAGCGTAGATAAGTGAGGGCAGTGACTGAGGTACCACTGTATATCCCACCATCTCAGCCTAAGGAGGAGTGAGTAGAAACTAATGACTAAGAGGTAGGCCGAGCCATCTCAAGGGACGGGTAGGTCAGTTTTGACTCCAAATATGGACAGATCATCAAAGGGTCCTCAAAGGCTTTTAAATCCTGACATGTACCACATTGACCCTATACCAGGTCAGCCTCAGACTAAGAACCAGACGGCCATTCTCTCTAATGAATGTTCATCCACTTACTCATCCAGGCACTCAACACACATTCCCTGAGCCCCTACTATGGGCTGTGCACTGTGCTATGCACTGGGGACCCAAAAATAAATGGCCTAACTATATCCTAGCATAGTAGGAGAAATAAGCTGTGTAGGCACATGACAATTACACAGTCGGCATAAGAATGAGAAGAGAGATAAAGCACTATACGCATTCAGGGGAGAAAGAGGACATCAGGATGAACTACAGCATCCCTTCCCCTGATTGCAGGTGGAGAAAGCCACACAGATCAGTCAGTTGGATCATATAGCCAAGAGCTGACTGTTTACGATGAACTACACCACATGGGAGACCCGATCATTACTGCTGTCCTACTATGTCCCAGGTACTTCACAGCCATCATTTCAAACCTGGTAAATACTTTTATCCCCACTGTGCCCAGCAAGCTCCAAACCCCAGGTGTGTCTCTCCACCGTCTCTCCTACATGCACACATCACAGACAAACTGCTTCCACCCATCTCCCAGAGGAGGAAAGGCTGACTGGAATGTTCAGTCTCCATCCCAGTGGAGGGCCATGGAGGAGAGGGCCAGCCAGCTGTAACTAAACCTAAATGGGGAAACAGGGATTTCCTGCCATGGTTACACCTCATGGTTGTAGTCCCAGGTTCTTTTTTACAGCATTTGTTAGAATCAGGATGTGGCAGTTAATTTTATGCTATAACACGACTGGGCTAAAGGATGCGCAGGTAGCTGGCGATATGTTATTTCTGGTTTACCCATGAGTCTGGTGTTTCTGAGATCAACATTGATTCAGTAAACTGGGTAAATAGAGAAGATTGCTTTCACCAATGTGGGGGGGCATTGCCCAGTCCACTGAGGGCCCAAGTGGAACAAAAGGATAGAGGAAGGGAGAATTCTCTCTTTGTCTGAGCTGAGACCTTTGTCTTCTTCTGTCCCCAGAGTTCGGTGCCCTTGTCCTTGGGCCTTCAGACGCTAGGAGGACCTATAACAGCTCGCTTGGTTCTCAGAGCTATGGACCTCCGTAGGCCTCCCACTTACAGAAGGCAGATCTAGACTTCTCAGCCTCCATAATCACACGATTCAATTCCTCATAATGAATCTCTGTCTGTGTATCTATATATACCTTATTGGTTCTGTTTCTCTAAAGAGCCCTGACTAATACACAGAGATAGTTGTGAAAACACCACTCCCTCCCCAAGCCTGCATTTCTGCCTCATCTTTGGGCAAGGTCTGTTTCCATCTTTGCTTCCTTTCCTTCCCCAACAGGACCTGGCCTCTGGTGGCCCTCGCAGGCCCCTCCCCCACCATCTTCCACTGTGTGAAGCATGATGACAAAATGACAAAAACATTCTCAAGGAAACGAGCTGCCCCGCTCACGGAGGCCACCGTAAGTGTCAGAGAAAGCAGGGTTTGGAGTTATTCATTCTGCTTCCATGGAATGAGTCCAAATCTGTGCTGGGCTGGTTCCCCCTTCCTGTTTTTCAATCCAGACACTTGCCGTCACAGTATGGTTCCTGTGGTGGCGCAGAATCTGTACAGGTCGGTTATCCTTGGGTTTTATTTCATCACAAATAGGCTGTTTCTCTTCTGCCTTCAACTGGTCCTCACCAACAGATTGAGGCAACCTCACAGGGTTGGGAGGGGGAGTGCAGGGGGAAAGAGCATGGCATTTGCAGTCTGAAGGGCCGCTGAGTCTTGCCTATCATTCACGACCCCGAGGGCAAGAGACAAACAAACCCTGGAACTATGCCAGCCCTTGGACTTGACTTCTCCTTTGTTCAGTGGGGTTCCCGGCCTCGCCTCTCCTTGTAGGTTAGCCATCCTCAAGCATGCTCCTAGTCTTGAATCCTGTGAACAGAACCATTCTCCTCTCCTGTAACAGCATAGATTCATTCTACCTTTTTAGAACTATGTGAAAGATTATATACTGTATGATTTCTCATGGATAGTTAAGGATTCTTTAGGTTTGGGGAACTCTTGATGAGTTATGGTTGTACATCCATTATGTATTTCGAAGAAGTGCCCTCTCCTTATTGAGTGTGTGGGCGGGCGCGCGTGCAGGTGTGTTTGGTACTGTTGCTATGACAACATCCCCACTTGGGCCTTACTCTCCTTAGACCCTCCAACCCACCCTGCTGCTTGATCTCAGGTGATCACCGCTTTCGTGGCATCACACCCCTGCTCAGAAGTCCTCCAAGGCTCCTCACTTCACTGCCTGCTTCATGTGGAACACCTTCTCCCCCAAACCAGGCAGTGCCATCGCTCCTGAGATTCAGGCATCCACTCCATCAAGCGGGGCTCCGTTCCCATAGCTACCGCAGACCTCACCCTGCTCTGTCAGTCAGTGCACATCTCCCCACCCCCAAAGGCTCACCTGGAAGTTCCAGTCAAATTCTCTGGATGCCATGACCAGTCTCTCCCTTTAGGACCTTCTGTTGGACTTAGACTTAACATCACACGGGTTGGTGTGCAGTTGAATCTGGGTGTTGCTTTAGCTCAGTGGTTTTCAACACTGGCTGAGAGTCGGCTGGGAAACTTTTAAAAGAAACTGAAAACATTTTAAAATACTAAAAATTGCTTGGGCCTCAGGCCAACCAAAGACTCTGAAGGGGAAGTCTGGGTGTCAGTACTTTCAAAAGCTTTCCAGGAGTCATGGGCTGAATTGTGTCCCTGTCCCCACTACATCCAACCCTGCCACATTCATACGGACACTGAAATCCTAGTCTCCAGTCCCCAGTGCCTCTGAGCGGGATGCTATTTGAACATAGAACTTTTAAAGAGGTAATTAAGTTAAATGAGGTCATTTATCAAGGTGGGCCCTTATCCAATATACCTATCTGGATAAAAAGAGGAAATTAGGACACAGACACACACAGAGGTATGACCCTGTGAAGACACAGGGACAAGATGGTCATTTACAAGCCAAGGACAGAGGCCTTAGAAGAAACCAACCAACCTTCTGACACCTTGATCTTGGACTCCTAGCCTCCAGAACTGTGAGGAAATATGTCTGTTCTCAAACTGACCACACGTTTCTACTGCACGTCCAGAAAGCAGCCCTTTTTCCAGCCGCCCCAGTCTCCCCCACCCCACCTTCCAGCTAGATCATAATCGTCCTGAGGGCCGGAGGGAGCTGTGCCTTTTGAGTCCTCCTGTCTCTAGCTGGCTCTTGACCCACTGGTGACTAATGACCTATTCTGCCACAGCACGTGGCCTCGACACACCTCTCTCCATGGTCCTTTACTCCTGATGCCGTCATCGTACTTGGAGATGCTTCAGACTTCTTTTTCCCCAATGTCTTTTACGCTTATCATCTTGGCCAATTTCGCATCATAAAAAATTTGTATCGTTTTCTGTTAAATGCCTTTTTCTTGTTCCAGGGACACCAAACTTAGTTGGCATGTCTAATATGTTATCTTATGTTGGGTAAACAATGAGGAAACTTCAGGAAAATTAGCAATAAGGCTAACAGGGCAGACACATGGAAGATGCCAAAATATTGGTGACATCATGGAGCTTCTGTACCAGCTCAGAGCGTCTATTTCTAGAATTCTTTTATGTGAGAAGATAAATAAACTTCTACCTGGTTTAAGTCATTTTGGAACTGGGGTCCCTGTTACTTGCAGTTAGGCAATTTCCGATCCAGCAGTCATCTTGGGGTCACTCTAGTTGTTTAAAATTTGTTTTCTAAGTTGAGCTGAGATCAGCCTCAGTGTCCTAGGAAGGGCCTGGCTGTTCTTAACTCCAAGTTCTGCCCTCTAGGGTCACCCCAAAGAAACCTAGTCCCTTCCTTCTCTCCAGCATTGACTTTTTCCCATCTTGATGTCTTTACTTCATAACTTTCACTTGCAATTAATTGTCTGTTTGTTGGACCACAGGCCCCCTTAGTTGCTTCCTCAGGTGCTCAGGCCCGTGGGCAACCCAAGGGTATGCACCCTGTCTGTGCCTTCACAGAGCATCTCAGCTACCTCCAGCCCGTGGCATATGCTGGATTTCTACTTTCCTTGGCTGTTTATATGTTCCCTCTAGACACTAGCCCATGGTCAGGCAAGAGAGCTTTCTGCCTTTGGGTTATCCTGTCTCCATGTTATTATTTTCTTATTCTTTGCTGATGTGCTCCTCACCTTATTCTTAGCAATACATGGTCTCCCAAGCATCATTTATTCAGCAGCAGGGACAGAACCAGAAGCACTTACAGCTTACAAGGAGCTCAGACAGCCCACTTTGCACATTCTACATTGCATTTTAAGCCCTGTAAATTCAGGCCATCTCATTAGCCTACTTCCCCTGTTGATAAGAGCTATCTAGAGAATATTAGCAAGTGGGGGGGGGAGACAGGAAAGTACTGTAATGCTGGTTTTGTTTTTGTTTTTGTTTTTTGGACACAGTTTCCAAGGACTCTAGTTCCTGTGTCAATCTCAGGGTTCTTCCAGACTTAAGTCTCTTTTCCTGAGGTGTAATGAATGTCCCCTTCCTTCATCACCAGAAAGACAGGGAGCCATTTTTGGGAAACTTTTCCCAGTAGCTACAGGTTGAACAAAAGAGTCTATATTCACAAACATGACCTTTTTTCTTCTTTCAAAGCACACCATCAGCACATACCGGTTAGCTCAGAGCTCCAGGGGCTTTCTCCCTGGTGTCCCTCCTCTTTGTTTCCTCATCTCCAAGGACTACATCAAAGGTTCTGTTCTGTGTTGTTGAAAACCTTTAAGTTCTATCTCTCGGCAAATTTCTGTTCTACAGCCCGGTGTTATTCACTACGGGCACCACGTGTTATTGCACATGAGATCCTCAGACCTAGATCTGAGGTTTTTCACCTGAGTTTTGTGGGCGTCTGGGGGAGCTCCTACAGGTGGGCCTCAGAGGCCTGTGAAATTGCATGCAGTGTGTTGTGCATACGGGAATGCACTCATTTTTCTGCATGGGGGCATTCCTCATGGTTTCACGCCACAATGTGGAAGGGGGATAGTTTTACCTAAAAATTTTTAAGAACTAATGCCTTTGGTATTTTCTCAAGAGGTCTTCCAGATTCGAGGGTAATTATTTACAGTACAGCATCATGTGCTACCTTTTCCCACAAACTCCAGCTGAGGAGCAGCCCTTTAGTTGAGAACCTTTGTTTTATGGTTAAAGTAACTGAAGCTCAGAGGAGTTAAGTCGATTGCCCACAGCCATCAGCAATTTCCTGACAGAGCCAGGGTGGGGGCTCCTGACCCTGGGGCCCTCCAGAAGCCTCAGGGACATTCATGTGCCAAAGGGTGAGGAGTTCTGTTTTCTTCCCTGGATTATAAATTCCGTGAGACATGAGCCCATCTCACTGCATGAGACTCATTCTCTGCATCTTGACAAATGTCTGTCCCATAATAGGCCTCAAATGTCTGTGGCTAGATTGCTTCATACCTATTAATCATAAGTCCACTTTCATTAGCTCTCGCCGTTTATTCTGATCCTGAATCCACCACTCAGAACCTCAAGCCCAGGGGGTGGCTGCTCTGCTGTGTGGAGCCCACGAGGTGTTTCCCGCACCCTGCCCCACCCAGTTTTGGGAGGTCTTCTTCCACCAAATTGCCTTTCTCAAAGGACGATTCATTCCACTTGTTCTTTTTTTATTTTCTTGGTATGTTACATTTTTTATTCTGGTAAAATATACATAACATAAAATTTACCATTTTTAACCATTTAAGGGCACAGTCCAGTGACATTCAGCACACACACACATCGCTGTGCAGCCATGACCGACATCCATCTCCAGAACTTGACCTTCCCAAGGTGAAACTCTGTGTCCATCGAAACCCTAACTCCCCATCCCCCTTCCCCCAGTTCCTGGCAGTTGCCATTCTGCTTCCTGTCTCTGAATGTAACTACGGAGATACCTCACATAAGCGGAATCACACTATATTTGTTCCCAGCATGTGACACGAAATATCACATGATATTTCGTCTGGGTTATTTCACTTAGCATAATGTCTTTAAGATGCAGCTATTGTAGTATGGGTCAGAATTCCCTTCCTTTCCAAGACTGAATAATAGTCACTGTGTAGATATCCCACATGTGGCTTCTCCACTCATCCATCCGTGGGTACTAGGGTAGCATCTACCCTTCGGCTATTGTGAGTAATGCTGCTATAGGTGTGCAAAAATCTGTTTGATTTCAGCTGCTTTCAGCTCCTTTGTGTGTGCGCCCAGAAGTGGAATTGCTGGGTCATATGGCAAGTCTTTATATAGTTTCTTTGAAGAACGGCTACACCATTCTCCACAGCAGCCATACCATTTTATATTCCCACGAGCAAAATTTCCATATCCTTATCAATATTTGTTGCTTTCTGTTTTTTCCTTTTTGATGGTAGCTACACCCTGTTTTGTATATCCTGATGGGTGTACAGTGGT